CTCTCTCTCTCTCTCTCTCTCTCTCGTTCGCGGCTCACTTCCTGCATCATTCAGCCGTGCGAATGCACCGGGCGAAACCTTGCGCTCGGTTAATTCGCGAACACTACCGACACTGCCCCCACCCCTCCGCCCTAAAACCGGTCGAAACGAGATTCTTGTTGACCGGACCGTCCACGTCGTTATTTGCGGCGTCCTCTCCTTTGTAATCAATTGAGAGGCATGGAAAAGTGTCCCTCAAAGCTTGAGCGCACTCTATCGAGCCTCGTGCACACATAGACGCGCGTTTCACCCCTCGATGGATCTCTCTAAACAGTAACCGTGATGCTTTCTCGCGTGTTTTCCGTGTGTCTAGGCGCAGGAAGATGTTATTGGTGGTACGTAGAATTCGTAATGAAAAATATACTCGCGTTCTCGAGTCGAAAGAATTTGAGATTTGTATTTGCTATTTTAATTCGCTTTAATGATCGTATAATGGAAGATTCATTTCTTTAAGATTAATCCATCGATACGTGCCAATACGTCGAAAAGATAAAAAGGGGATTGACGAGTCAATCCCTTCCCGAGAAAAAAAATCGATGGGTTACTGTTTAGGGTGTAAAGGGTCACGTGGTTTGTCGCAGCGTTCCCTCCGCTTCCCTATTTCTCCATTTTTACGAACTGTGTATACTGTTGGAAACTTTGGGGAGGGGGTTGGGGAGGAGGGAGAAGGTGGAAATCCAACGCCGCCCCGAAAATTCAGACCGCGTTAGACTTGATGCACGTACCCGTGGAATCCAAACACCGGATCTTGAGGCAACATCCCGTGTTGTCGCATCCCGTTTCCCAACCGCGCTCTCTGCGGTGGAAAAAAAAAAGAAAAAAAAAGGCCAATAAAACTTCCCCGCGTACACGTCCCCGCGTTTTATCCCACCACCGTGTCCCCATTGTTCGCGCAAGGAACAAAACCAGAACTACATCAACGATATCCCTTTGAAATCTAAAAATATACACCGAGGGCGAGGAGAGGGGAAAAGAAGAAAAAAAGAAAGAAACCTCCCCCCGTGAATCTCCTCCCCCTCGATTTTCGATCCTTCGATAGAAGAACGAACGAAAAATTAATTCGATCGATCGATCGATGGATCGTAGAGAAGAAAAAATAGTTGCACGAAAAAAGAAAAAAAGGAACGCGCGTTGCGGGCGATCGAAGGGAAAAAGAGAGAGGGGGGAAAAAAATATATGGAAAAAGCTTTCGACGAAACAGCCGCAAGGATAGGCTTTTCACGAGCAATTGAATCGAAAGGTTCGGATACCTGACGGTTTGAGTACGCAGGTGTGCACGCGCAGACGCGCGTTTACACTGCGTATCCAATGTTTATCCCGACGAGGGGGGAAAGAAAGGAAAAGAGACGGTTCCGGAATCACGGATGGAAATTTTCGAGAATGATTGCTCGAAGCATCGAATATAACTATAATAATACTTCGTTGCATAAAAATACAAATAAATATCATACTTTCTCTCCAGAGTGGCTCCACGATGGAGAAAAATATTGAAATCGGGATATATATGTGATATCGAAAACTGTGAGCGCAAATGCATGAGAAATAAAAATTTTTGACAGATAAATATAGCGATATCTCTAGGAAAACGGGGGTGGACGCGAGCTTCGGGTCCCTCAATTATATTATGCTCGATTGGCCGACAGCCGATGTGTCAGCCGAGGATTTTCTTCGACCGTGGGCGTCCATACGTGCATCCACACGTATGCATCCACTTTTGTCACACCACGTATTTCGTCTTTGTGACGTAAAACGCTGCTGCCGCTGTTGCTGGCGATACACACGCTGAATGAACCCCCGGACAAGCCACGTCCTCCCGGAGAGAACAGAAATGGAAAGTTCAAGATTAAACGCGGAACGGGTTTCTTTGTTAGAGGAACGAGGGGCACCCGAGTTTCAATGCTCGCTACCAATTTTTTCAAGGGATGGAAATTTTTCTTGCACAACGGTGACAAAAGTACTAGCAGTATATACATTCATGTATATACATGAATATCAGGTTGTTGAACGACGAGTTCTTCGAAAATTTCGACTCGATAAATTCCGTGAATAACATAACCATTCCAGTTTCGTTCGTTCGCACGACCAATCAAGAATCGAGGGATAAGAAATCCGAATAATCAGTAGCACGATCCGAGCAAGTAAGTTTCCCTTTTCGGGCGAATCAGGCTTGGATCAAAGGGATCAAACGGGAGAAAGAAGGAGAGAAAGGTAAAGGAATAAGAGGTGGGAAAGCATCCTCGGCGGTTTTTCTCGAAGTAGGGGACGAAGTAGCGGTAGGCAGATACCGGGAGGGCTAATCAGGGGCGAAAGAGTAAGGACGAGGGAGGCAGGTGAGCGGGCGGGGAGGCGGCAGGTAGGCAGGGAAGCAGGAAGAGGAGGAAGGAAGTGCGCTTGCGCGGTGGTACGGCCGGGCTAGACGCGAGAGCCGCCACTCCCGAGCGCGTAGCGGTGTAGCGCGGGTGCTGACCGAGTGTCCCCGTGAGAGAAGAGCGAGCGAGCGAGCGAGCGAGAGAACGAGACCGTAGAGAGTGTGGAGAGAGAGAGAGAGAGAGAGAGAGGGAGAAGAGAAGAGAAGAGAGAAGAATGTCCATCGTCGAAGGAAGGATCGGCAGGAAGCGGAGCCCGCGGCAGGACATCATCGACGATCATCAGGCGGCTCCGTGCTTGTAGGACGCACCGAAAAAGGAGGAAAGAGAGAGAGAGAGAGAGAGAGGTGTTCTCCTCGAAGAGGATCTCGTTCTCCCTCCTCCACCGCGTTTCCCTGTGTGTTTCTCGACCCGACGCAACGATTCCCCACGATATTTCTTCCTCCCTTCCTGCATCCCTCCCTTCCTTCCTGTATCCAGGTGAGGAAAAGATCGGGAACGGCCGTCTCGTCTCGTCTCGTCTCTTGCGAAAGAGAAAAAGAAGAGTCTCTCTGTTTGAGAGAGGAACAGTGTCGCGGAACAGTGTCGAGATCGCGACGGAATCAAGTGCGTAGTAATAATAATCTCTCTCGCTGCGAAACAAAATAACCTCTCTCTCCGTCCAGAGAACGGAGATAGAGGGATTACGGTTGTTGTTAACGGCAGTTGTGGAAATCGAATCGATGGGGTGGGGGGATTGTACGCGTGTAAAGTCGAACCAGCGAAGATAAACGAGGAACGTTGAAGGTGACATCAAACGATAAATATTCGCCGTGGTATTCCGGCCGTGGTCGTGGCTTCGAGGCCGAAAAAAGAGAGAGAGAAAGAGAGGGAGAGATTACAGCAAAGAATTACAGTGAAGGAGGGAAGAGGAAAGATCTCGTCGTTCGTTGTGATATCTGATCGCGAGTGATAAAGCCGAGAGAAGGAGCCGGGGTCTCTCGAGGCTCGGCCGCGAGGAAGAGATCGTGTGAGGTGATTCGAGCGGCGATATATATATACACACACACACACATACATATATATATATACAGTGTTTCAAACGCGAGTGTGAGTGAGAAGAAGAGACATTTTCTGGGTGAAAATTTTCAACGATACGTATCCGACTTTACTTTAGGCGGACCCGATTCAAAGGAGGAGGAAGAAGAAGAAGAAGAAGAAAAAAGTGAGGAAGAGAAGAAGCGAGAAAGAGAAGNGCCCGCCACGCATCGTGCCCCGTTCGCGCAAGCCGCGTAAGTACACAAATTCTTTCCAAAACCCACCGCGTGTAAAATAAATCAAAGATTGTCCCAAACTTTTCTTCGATGGTATAAGTAAGACACGATACGCAGAGATGGATTAAAATAGAGCGAATATTACCAGCGCGGAAGAGAACGATGATTTAGGCTTCGACCTTTCGGCCGAAAGGGACGCGCGTTTCGCGACGGTGGAAACGTGGTTGTAGCCAGCCGGCCGCGTATCCTCGAATCGATACGCTCGGTTTCCACTTGTCCCTTTGAAGTTTGCCTGCGTGGGATCGGTGTGTCGCACCGTGTGAGTCGATGCACGATGACGATCGGCGAGACGAAACTCTGTTCGAATAATTATTCTCTCTCTCTCTCTCTCTTTCTCCTTGATGCAGCACCCTATCCTCGTCGCACCGTGACCTCGAACGGAGTCGAAGTTAATCGACGAAGCCTAATGTGCCTGGAATACCACGCCGCCAATCGATAGGCTTGCAGCTGATTCCACGCCGCGGCTGCCTAGGTGCAAGGATTTAATTAATGATCCATAATCCTATATCTCGATTACGTGTTTCGCCTGCGGTGAGCCGTGTGCATGCGGCACACTGTGCCGGGCCACGCGAAATTGGTCGATAAACGGATATAATGGGGGTAGGGAAGGGGGGGGGGGGATAGAAGGGGAGAGGAGAAAAAAAGGGAAATATACGCGCGTCTCGTTTAAAGGCCGACACGATCATCGAATATACGATATCCCACGTGCTATCCTGTGTGCTATCCGCGAGACACGAGACACATCTCTATCTTTGACGATTTGGAAGATTTGCGAGGGGTCTGGGGTCCGTGATTGCATGTAAATGAGTGGAAACATGCATGCGCGGGCTCTTTCAAGGATCGCACAATGACGACGCCGCCCCCTTCTCCCTGCCCTCCCGCCCTTGTGACTCGAAGACGACGGCGGCGGCGGCGGCGGCCAGGCGTCGTCTCGCGCTTTAATGGAAGCGGCGAGCTCGCTGTTACGTTAAAAAATTCATTCCCCCCAGGAAGAATCGCATCCGATGATCGTTGCAGACGCTCTCCCTAATTGGATCGCGTTAAGTTTTCATCTCTTCGTTGTTGCTGCTAGGTACTACTGTTACGATTTCAACGAGAAAGATTTGTCTTGTTAATTGTTTCCTAATTGGTTTTTCTGGCCTGTTCTCGGTTTCCCTATTTTTTCCTTTCCCCTCCGTTTGAAGGAGTTTTTCCTTTATTTCTTCCTTCTTTTCTTTTTTTTTTTTTTTTATTAATGGAAAGCGCGTCAGAGTGTTTTGAAGAAAATATATATATATATATATATATTCGTTTTCGTTGATTTTAGTGATATTATTTTTCAAATAAACACTTGGATCGGATTTTCGATACAAAAGAGAGAATGGATTAGGATTAATCGTTAAAGGGGAAAAGGTTTCATTTTTCTTTTCGTTCACAATACCGTATGTCATATAATACGAAATTATCTATCGGTCTTACTTAAAGTTTATAGACGTTTGTAGCAATTGATTTATTGCTACTTTGTCTCTGCTATAAATACACACGTCGATATATCAATCACTAACGATTCCATCGTTATTTTTAAAGAAATTATCTTCTCCCTCATTTCCTTCGATTTTTCCATTAATAATGTTTCCAAATTTCGAGTCTTAACGATCGAGAATACATACGAAATAATACTTCGTAACGCATCCAAATTTTTCCCTGTAAAACCAGATTTGATTCTAACTTCTCCAATAATTCCTTCGATTTTTCCATTGATAATGTTTCCAAATTTCGAGTCTTAACGATCGAGAATACATACGAAATAATCAACGCATCCAAATTTTTCCCTGTAACACCAGATTTGATTCTAAATTCTCCAATAATTCCTTCGATTTTTCCATTACTAATGTTTCCAAATTTCGCGTCTTAACGATCGAGAATACATACGAAATATTCAATGCATCCAAATTTTTCCCTGTAACACCAGATTTGATTCTAAATTCTCCAATAATTCCTTCGATTTTTCCATTAATACTGTTTCCAAATTTCGAGTCTTAACGATCGAGAATACATACGAAATAATACTTCGTAACGCATCAAAAATTTTCCCTGTAAAACCAGATTTGATTCTCCAATATTTTCTTCTCCATTTTCAAATTATACCTAAACATGCATAATTCAATTCATTTATTTCAAAAAAATATAAAGTCGAACACCGTGGAAAAATCATAAAACCGCGATGCGTCACCAAGATATAACAAAACAATATAATCCATCAGATCAAAGGTGACTGCGAGGACAACGTAGACCGGCTTTATAGCGTTTAATAACCGAATGGAATACACGTTTGGTTAATAAATACGCGAGCGCGCTTGTGTGTGTATGTGTATATACGCACGAAGGCTTACTCGGTACACGGCCCACCACCGTCTCGAGAGTGACAGCGGCATCGCGAGAACAATGGCGGAGCTGAAATTAGTTGTACCGGCTCATCCCTTCTCGCATTAACGCCGCGATCCAGTCGCCTCGTATACACGTAATCCGCAAACGTTTCTGTAACCCGAGCGGCTGATATCGACCGCTATTTTCCGACAATGTTTAACACGTTTACTTATCAACCACCGCCACCACTGACAGCTTAATCGATTCTAATAACAGAGATATTCTTCAAAATGCACCATCATCCAGAGTGACGCGGTCTTTTTATATATATATATACACTCCCTTCTCTCCCTCTTCTCTTCTCCGTATTATCGCGGATTTAATAATTCCCAAGCTAGATTTTCCCTCATTCTTTTAGAGACAATCTTTTAAACGATACTCGATCTTTAATTTATCGAAGAAGGGGGCGGAGTATCGAAATTGGTGCACGTTAAAGGGCAACCAAAGCCTCCTCCCTCGAAAAATCATCGTTTTATCCACCTTATCCAATTACATCGCAATCCCATACACATATATATATATATATACATATACACAACGGTGTGCATCGACTGTTTAGAGGAAATCGCATCGACGAAATCCTCCGGAGCCGCCGATATTAACCTTAGCAGGGTTTGGCTCGCAACAAAATTTCGACTCTAATCCAACGGGGAGAGGGGTGGTAGTTAGGTATAGTCGAAGGGATTATCAATATTTACGCTCTTCCGGCGGCGAGCTCGCAGCCGGGTCGTTCCACCTGTTTTCTCCTCGAGGGCCCTGCTGCCTCTCTCTCTCTCTTTCTCTGTAGCCTCCTCCAAACCCCTACGAGTACCAACCGCGGACGGGTTCTGTAGTGTGGTATCGGTGATCGCAGTAGAGCACTCGAGCAAGAGGGTGCTCCCGACGTGGCAGAGCTCCAAATCCTCCTACGCTGTCGTTACCACCTCCCATCCTGGATTCCTGGATTCCACGCGTCCTCCTCCTCCTCCTCTTCTTCTTCTTCTTCTTGGCGAGGGGAGGAGGAGAAACGGCCCTTTTCGGACCCTCTCTTCCCCTCCTTCTCCTTTCTTAACTCAAGTATTATATCTCGTTCTCTTATATCTCTCCTCTTCTTCCCTCTCTTCCCTGGGCTCGATCCAACCATTACCTGGCCGTGGTGGAGCCATAAGGGCGGCGACAGTCCCCGATTGAAACGGGGTGATTCTGAGAACGGGTCCCACGGAATATACGAGGAATACGAGAAACAACGTTCCTCGGCGCGGCGGAGCTTCGGGCGGAGCTAGCGCCGTTTCTTCTTTGTCTTCCTCCCCCGGAGAAC